TGATTGTTGGTTTGGTTTGAAAGTGTGTTTGCTTTCCACCGTACTTTTCTTTCAAAATACAAGATGACAGTTTGTGCTAGGACTGCCACCCATAATAAAAAAGGAAGGATGGGAGGGAGGGAATGAGAAGAAGAAGAGGAGGAAGAAAGGAAGGGGAGAAGAGAAAGGAAGAGAGATAAGAAAGGAGGAGGGGAAGAAGAGGAAGGAAGGAGGGAGCAAAATGGGAAGAGGAGGAGGAAGAAAGGAAGGGAAGAAGAGAAAGGAAGAGAGATAGGAAAGGAGGAGAGGAAGAAGAGGAAGGAGATCGAAGGAAGGGGAGAAGAGAAAAGAAGAGAGATAGGAAAGGAGGAGAGGAAGAAGAGGAAGGAAGGAGATGGAAAGAAGGAGAGGAAGGAAGGGGAGAAGAGAAAGGAAGAGAGATAAGAAAGGAGGAGGGGAAGAAGAGGAAGGAAGGAGGGAGCAAAATGGGAAGAGGAGGAGGAAGAAAGGAAGGGAAGAAGAGAAAGGAAGAGAGATAGGAAAGGAGGAGAGGAAGAAGAGGAAGGAGATGGAAGGAAGGGGAGAAGAGAAAAGAAGAGAGATAGGAAAGGAGGAGAGGAAGAAGAGGAAGGAAGGAAGGAGATGGAAAGAAGGAGAGGAAGGGAGAAGAGAAAGGAAGAGAGATAGGAAAGGAGGAGAAGAGGAAGGAAGGAGGGAGGGAAATGGGAAGAAGAGGAGGAGGAAGAAAGGAAGGGGAGAAGAGAAAGGAAGAGAGATAGGAAAGGAGGAGAGGAAGAAGAGGAAGGAAAGAAGGAGATGGAAAGAAGGAGAGGAAGAAAGGAAGGGGAGAAGGGAAGAGAGATAGGAAAGGAGGAGAGGAAGAAGAGGAAAGAGATAGAAGGAAGGGGAGAAGAGAAAAGAAGAGAGATAGGAAAGGAGGAGAGGAAGAAGAGGAAGGAAGGAAGGAGATAGAAAGAAGGAGAGGAAGAAAAGGAAGGGAGGAATGAAGGAAGGAAGGAGGAAAATGGGAAGGAGGGGAGGAAGAAAGCAAGGGGAGAAGAGAAAAGAAGAGAGATTCCATTCCATATTCTATTCTATATGCTATGCCATACCATACCATCAGCACAATTATTATTATGGTTGGTTGCAGAGTCAGCCAGATGTTCAGGATGGCATATTTGTCCACTCCCTGAGTCCTTCCAAAGGACCGAGGATAGGCAGATGTGACAATTTAATAATATTAAGACATCATCGTTGGAGGTCAGCTGTTCCCAGTTGAGCTGCCTTTTGCAATTGACCAATGGAGATTTTGTGTCAATTGCCGATGATGCTCAAGTGGTGCCCCAGATGTTCTGGGATTTCACCAAGACGCCCATCCCTCTTGGGACTGTCTTTGCTTTCTTTCGCCAGAGTCGTTCTACTTCTCTTCGCAACTCTTTGTATTCTGTGATCTTCCCCAATTCTTTTTCTTTTATTTTTGCTATCTCCAGAATAATTTTAGTTCATTTTTTGCTTTCTTCTCCACAGTCGTTATGTCTGGAATGTTAAGTGCAGGGGAGCGATTCATCTGGTTTGGGCGAACCGTTCGCTCCAACGATCAGCTGGGGAGCAAACCGTTCGCTCTGACGATCAGCTGGGGAGTAAACCGTTCGCTCCGACGATCAGCTGGGGAGTAAACCGTTCGCTCCGACGATCAGCTGGGGAGCAAACCGTTCGCTCCGACGATCAGCTGGGGAGAAAACCGTTCGCTCCGACAATCAGATGGGGAGCAAACCGTTCGCTCCGACGATCAGCTGGGGAGCAAACCGTTAGCTCCGATGTTCAGCTGGGGAGCAAACCGCTCGCTCCGACGATCAGATGGGGAGAAAACTGTTCGCTCCGACGATCAGCTGGGGAGCAAACCATTCGCTCCGACGATCAGCTGGGGAGCAAACCATTTGCTCCGACGATCAGCTGGGGAGCAAACCGTTCGCTCCGACGATCAGCTGGGGAGAAAACCGTTCGCTCCGACGATCAGATGGGGAGCAAACCGTTCGCTCTGATGTTCAGCTGGGGAGCAAACCGCTCGCTCCAACGAACAGCTGGGGAGAAAACGGTTCGCTCCGACGATCAGCTGGGGAGCAAACCGTTCGCTCCGATGTTCAGCTGGGGAGCAAACCGCTCGCTCCGACAATCAGATGGGGAGCAAAACGTTCGCTCCGACGATCAGCTGGGGAGCAAACCGTTCGCTCCGACGATCAGCTGGGGAGCAAACCGTTCACTCTGATGATCAGGTGGGCCTGCCCACTCGTCCCTGTGCTTTACTTACCTATATCCTCTCAGTTGATTTGCACGGCAGATCCGCACCTCAGTTGTGTTACTCAACAGAAGTAACTTGGAAGGTAGATTTTGTGAAAACTGGTGATGCGCATGGAGCACATGGAGCACGTGACCACAGGACCAGTTGTTAATCCACTGGTGATGTGGCAGAGGCCTGTCTGTTTGAGTCCCAGAGCATTACTTGGTCTGTTTTGTGGTCCCACCAGTTTTGGCTTGCAGCCCAATCAATGCAAACAAATTTTGCTTACTCTGGCTGAAAGCAGCTTAGAACTGGCTGGCTGAAGGCTCTTTGGCTCCATCCTTAGGACTCATCGGCTTTTTCGGTGTGCAGCACTTTCTGGTTTGCAAAGAAGACAGGCCCAGTGGTGGGATTCAATTTTTTTTAATACCGGTTCTGTGGCCGTGGTGTGGCTTGGTGGGCGTGACTTGGTGGGTGTGGCAGGGAAAGGATACTGCAAAGTCCCCATTCCCTCCCCACTCCGGGGAAGGATATTGTAAAATCCCCATTCATTCCCCATTTCAGGGAAAGGATACTGTAAAATCCCCATCCCCTCCCCACTCCAGGGGAAGGATACTGCAAAATCCCCATTCCCTCCCCACTCCAGGGAAAGGATACTGTAAAATCCCCATTCGCTCCCCATTCCAGGGAAAGGATACTGCAAAATACTCATTCGCTCCCCACTCCAGGAGAAGGATACTGCAAAATCCCCATTCTCTCCCCACTCCTGGGGGAAGGATACTGCAAAATCCCCATTCCCTCCCCACNTTGGTGAAGGAAACAGAGAAATATTGTCCACAGAACACACTGGACATACAGAAGGAACGGTCCACTCACCCAAAAATACAAGACAAAGACACAGAGATGTAGAAAAAGGACATCAGGTCCAAAGCATCTTTCTCCTTGTTCTTTCTTTCTTTCTTTTTTCTTTCTTTTTCTTTCTTTCCTTCCTTCTTTCCTTTCTTTTTTTACTTCCTTTCTTCCTTTCTCTCTCTCTTTCTTTCCTTCCTTCCTTTCCTTTTTTCTTTTCTTTCTTTCTTTCTTTCTTTTTTCTTTCTCTCTCTTTCTTTCTTTTTGTCCTTCCCTCCTCCCTATCTCCCTGCCTTTTCTTTCTTTCTTTCTTTCTTTCTTTCTTTATTTATTTATTTCTCTCTGTCTTTTTTCTTTCTTTCTTTCTTTTTCTTTCTTTCTTTTTGTCCTTCCCTCCTCCCTACCTCCCTGCCTTTTCTTTCTTTCTTTCTTTCTTTCTTTCTTTCTTTCTTTCTTTCTTTCTTTCTTTCTTTCTTTCTTTCTTCCTTACTCTCTGTCTTTCTTTCCTTATTTCCTTTCTTTTTACTTCCTTCCTTTCTTCCTTTCTTTCCTTCCTTCCTTTCCCTTTTTTCTTTCTTTCTTTCTATTTCTTTTTCTTTCTTTCTTTTTGTCCTTCCCTCCTCCCTACCTCCCTGCCTTTTCTTTCTTGCTTGATTTCTTCCTTTCTGTCTTTTTTCTTTCCTTCCTTTCCCTTTCTTTTTTCTTTTCTTTTCTTTCTTTCTTTCTTTTTCTTTCTTTCTTTTTCTCTTCCTTCCTTCCTTTCTCTCTCTTTGACTTTTTTCCTTCCGTTCCCTTTCTTTCTCTTTCTTTCTTTTTTCTTCCTTCCTTCTCTTTCTTTTTGTCCTTCCTTCCTTCCCTCCCGTCCTCCCTCCTCTTCCTTCCTTCCTTTCTCATCTTTCTTTTCTTTTTCTTCATGGAAGAAGACAAAAAGATGGCATGGCACCACCATTATATTTAGCAAGGAAAAAGACTCCATAGAGAACCTCATTCTTTCTTGTTTCATTTCTGGAGAATTAGAGAAATGTGGATTGTTCCTCAAAGTCCGTTTCTCCTCCCATAAAGCCTGAACCAATGGATCTCATGAAAAAAGAGATGAAGGAAACAAGTAAATGGACCACTCCAACTGATTTCAGCCACAGTGTAGACATTGCGAATATACAGTAGATAAAAATGTTGTCCTATTTTCTCAGTGCTACGGGTCCTCAGAATTACGTTGCCGGTGAGGAAGAGAAAGACTCTTTTCACACTTCCTTGCATAGCCAACCCATCCTCAAAATTGCTTAGCATGAGGCCAAGTTCAAATGGGAAAAGACAGTACAGGTAGTCCTCGACTTATGACCACAATTGAGCCATAAACGTCTATTGCTAAGGGAGACAGTTGTTCAGTGAGACTAGCCACATTTTATGACGTTTCTTGCCACAGTTGTTAAGGGAATCACTGCGGTTGTTCAGTGGGTAACACGGTTGTTAAGTGAATCCAGCTTCCCCATTGACAGGTCGCAAAAGGGGATCACATGACCTTAGGATCCAGCAACGGTCATAAAATGTGGNAGAAGTTGTGAATGCCCCAACACTGGAAGTCTTTAAGAAGATGTTGGGTAGCCATTTGTCTGGAACGGTATAGGGTTCCCTGCCTGAGCAGGGGGTTGGACTAGAAGACCTCCAAGGTCCAACTCTGTTATTCTATTCTAGTCTAAATTCACCCACTCCAGATGTTGTCTCCCCCTTTGGTTTTGATTTGCAAGAGGTTTGGTGAGAAGATCGCCCATCCTTTCCTTAACTCTTTGGATGTTTGTTGCTCTTTTTAGATCTGGATGACTTGAAATGTGCCCCGTTTGGAACGTATAGCAGTGGCTCCCTTCTGAGTAGCTTCCCAAGCTGCGACTGGTTGGATAAAGAAGATGTCTATCAGAGCAGGAAGTCTACCCCCTCCTCCCTTCCTGCAGGAAACGAAGCCTCCTTAGCTACCTCTGTCCTCCAGAAGAAGGAGACCTTTTTCGGCAGCTCTGAAAACATCACCGTGACCACCGTTTCCAAGGTGACAACCTTTGCGAACGAGGACGTGAAGTTCTCACCTTTTGCAAACTTCCAAGGTTCCAGTCCTCGTTCTGTCGACCAAAGCGAGGACGAAGTTGAAGACTTCGGAGAGTTTGCTCGACCCCCGGACGGTGGAAGCGAGAGACCAACCCCAGGCGGCCCTCAAGAGGCTGACTCAGCCTCCGTCTCCTCAGAGGCTGGAAAAGAAGTTTTTGATGACTTTGGGGAGTTTCAGGGTGAAAAACCCAAAATCAGCAAATTTGACTTTTTATTGGCCACTTCCCAAGGGAAAATGAAATCCAGTGAAGAAATGATCAAAAGCGAGCTGGCAACTTTTGACCTCTCCGTTCAAGGTGAGAATCCCACGCTGATATTGTGGTTGCAATTACAGGTCGTCCTCCACTTACGACCACGACTTAACTGCTGTTGAGTGAGAAGTTTGTTTTGCCCCACTTTACGACCTTTCTCGTCACCTTTGCTAAGTGAATCACTGCAGTTCTTAAATGAGGAACAAAGCTCTGAAGGGAATCTGGTTTCCCCCGTTGACCTTGCTTGTCGTAACTGTAAGTCAGTTGTCAAGCATCCAAATGTAAATCACATGGCCATGGGGATGCTACAACGGTCATAAGTGTGAAAAATGGTCGTAAGTCACTCTTTTCACTGCCGTTGTAACTTTGAATCAGAGGTGGGTTCCTACCGGTTTGGCCGAATAGGTAGTAACTTGGCAGGACATGGGACCATACCGGTTCGATCCTGGGCGCCGTCATCTTTATTTTCTGTTGTTTTTTTACAATACAATACAATACAATAGCAAAGTTGGAAGGGGCCTTGGAGGTCTTCTAGTCCAACCCCCTGCTCTGGCAGGAAACCCTATGCCGGTGATGGCCAACCTTTTTCTTATGGCTTGCCAAAATTGTGTTCACTCATGCTATCACCAATTCAATCATCCCTGCCCACCTGCGCATGTGCACATGACACCACCCAACCTGCAAATGCACACACGACCTTTCCCCGGGTTCTGGAGGCTCTGGAGGGCAAAAAATGGCCCCAGCGAGCCAACTGGAAGTTTGGGAATGAACTTCCGGTTGGCCCGTTGGGCCTGTTTTTCATGCTCCCCAGCCTCCGGAGGCTTACCTGAAGCCTGGGCGAAAATGGTCTGCTCCGGCTCTCTGGAAGGCCAAAAATCAGCTGGCCGGCCCATGCATGCACTCCAGAGCTGATGGCTGGCATGCCAGCAAATATGGCTCCATGTGCCACCTTTGGCACGCGTGCCATAGGTTCACCATCACGGCCCTATGCCATTTCAGACAAATGGTTGTCCAGTCTTTTCTTAAAAGCTTTCATTGATGGAGCATTCACAACTCCTGGAGACAAGCTGTTCACTGATTATACAATACAATACAATATAATACAATAGCAGAGTTGGAAGGGACCTTGGAGGTCTTCTAGTCCAACCCCCTGCCTAGGCAGGAAACCCTTTTCATTAAACTAGACATACCCAGTTCCTGCAACTGTTCTTCATATGTTTTAGTCTCCAGTCCCCTAATCCTCTTTGTTGCTCTTCTCTGCACTCTTCCCGGAGTCTCCACATCTTTTTTACATTGTGGCGACCAAAACATAACACGGTTAAGTGAATCTGGTTTCCTCATTGACTTTGCTTGTCAGGTCGCAAAAGGTGATCATGTGACCCTGGGACACTGTA